CAGGAAAAAAGAAAGCCTGGCTTTAATCTAGTAATAAAAATATAAGGAGATAGGATAATTTATTTTATGTGTTTAACAAGCAGGCATCATAGCATTATATCCATCAGTACATTAGTATGTATCTCTAACAGATGAGGACTTTTTCTTTAATATAACAATACTGTCATCACAGCCAACAAAATTAAAATGTTAATACCTGGTCCATGTCCAGTTTTCCCCAGCTGTCTCAAAAATATCGTTTTGGACTTGATTTGTTTGAATCAGGGAGGATGAGGTATTTTTAATATGTAGTATTCTCTAATAAAATCCCCTCAGTACTCTTTGCATTAATGATTGCTGTATTACTTATCAGCAACTTCTTCGAGAGATGCAGCAGATGGCCAGTCGTCCCTTTGCCTCTGTAAATGTTGCCTTGGAAACAGATGAAGAGCCTCCTGATCTTATTGGGGGGAGTATAAAGGTGAGATTGTATTTCAAAAGTCCCTGTGACTTGACTTATCAAAACTCGTGCTTCTAAGTCTGGGGAACCAGAGAGAGCAAGAGCCTCATTCTGTTGCCTCTTATGTTATCCTCTCTCTTTCTTCTTAACAGTAAGTCCACACACTGAAAGTGTCAGGTATTCTTTTGCTTTCATTTTCTAATCTTTGATTCATGTTGTTAAGCAGTCTCATATTCAGGGAATTTTAAAATGTAAATAGCTTGTCTGATATTCTTGTAAGTTTTCTATGGCATAATACTTGAAAACTTGAAAATAGCTAAATTGAACCATTGTTCTTTATAAGTATTTTGGGGGATTTTTTAAAAGGGGAAAAATCATGATTGACTACAAATTCTGTAGTCAAAATAAATAATTCTGATTCCCCCCACCATGATGAAGAAAATGATAAGACTTTCTCTTTTGACAAAATGATGAAATATTTCAGATACTCTTGGGAAACAGCTATATGTTCATGGAGATATGTATACACACACATATATACATATATATATATGTGTGTATATATATTATATTTTATATATATATATATATATAAAATCTATATGTCCTAACACACTTATTAAAGCATTACTGAGCTTACAGGAAGTATGTGAGATTTCCAGGGACCACTCTCCTTTCCCTCCTCCGAAAAAGAACAAACCATGAACCAAAACCAGAGCTATGCATGGTCTAAAGTGGTTCTAGACTGGTAACACACCACATCTCACAGCTGAAGTACATGCAGATCCTGTCTGAGGGAAAACCTACCCAATTCAGCCATGATCAAGACCAAGGAATCAGTGATCACCAAGGACAAAAGAGAAAAGCCATGAATAATAGTCAGCAGAAGCAACAGAAGTGACATCTAATGAATATAATATAGCTCTGTATGAAATGTTTAAAGAAATGAAAGATAGAATCATAAAGATGAGGAAGCCATGAGAGTCAAGAATGGCCAATGACACCTGAAAAAGAACCAAATGGAACTGTTAGAAATGGAAAATACAGTAGTTGAAATTTTTTAAGTAATTCAGTTTACATGTTAAACAGCACGTCAGACACAAGTAAGGAGAGAGCTTTTGAGCTGGAAGATGACTCTGAAGAAACTACATAGGCTGCAGAACAGAGAGACAAGGAGATGGAAAATATGACAGATAATGAGAATATGGAAGATAGAATGAGAAAACTTAACATATATGTTATCACAGTCCCAGAACAAATGAATGGAGGAGAGGCAGTATTCAAAGAGCTGAGAAATTTCCAGAACTGATGGAAGACATGATTATACAGATTCTAGCAAAACATATTGTAAGCAGGAGTAAGGAAAGAAAGCAGAGGGAAGGCAGGGGAGAAAGAAAACTACAGTTGGGTTTGTCATAGTGAAACTGTAGAACTCCAAAGACAAAGAGAATGTGTTAAAATTAGCCAGAACAAAAAAAGATCACTACAATGTGGAGAAATTGGAACCCTTGTGTACTGTTAATGGGAATGAAAATGATGCAGCTGCTGTGGAAAACAGTATTTCTCTTCCTCAAAAAAATAAAAATAGGGCTTCCCTGGTGGCGCAGTGGTTGAGAGTCCGCCTGCCGATGCAGGGGACACGGGTTTTTGCCCCAGTCCAGGAGGATCCCACATGCCGCGGAGTGGCTGGGCCCATGAGCCATGGCCGCTGAGCCTGCGCGTCCGGAGCCTTTGCTCCGCAATGGGAGAGGCCACAACAGTGAGAGGCCCACGTACCAATAAAAATAAAAATAATAAAAATAGAATTATTATATGATCTAGCAATTCTTTTTCTGGGTATATACCCCAAAGAATTGAAAGCAGGGTCTTGAAGATATATTCGCACACCATGTGCATAGCAGCTTTATTCACAGTAGCTAGAAGTTGGAACCAACCTATGTGTCCATTGAGGTATGAATGGATAAACAGAATGTGGTATATATATACAATGGAATATTACTCAGCCTTAAAAAGGAAAGAAAGTCTGACCAATGCTACATAGATGAACATAGGTGAACCTTGAAGACATTATGCTAAGTGAAAGCCAGTCACAAAAAGACAAATACTGTATGATTTCACTTATATAAGGTACCTTGAGTAGTCAACTTCATAGAGACAGAAAATAGAATGGTAGTTGCCAGGGTCTTGGGAGAGGAAGGAATGGGGAGTTGCCGTTTAATGGGTATAGAGTTTCAGTTTTCCAAGATGAAGGAGTTCTGGAGGTGGATGGTGGTGATGGTTGCACAACAATATAAATGTACTTAATACCACTGAACTGTATACCTAAAAATGGTTAAGATAGTGAATTTTGTTATGTGCATTTTACCACATTAAAAAATAACTGGGGGGCTTCCCTGGTGGCGCAGTGGTTGAGAATCCGCCTGCCGATACAGGGGACACGGGTTCGTGCCCCGGTCCGGGAGGAGCCCACGTGCCGCGAAGCGGCTGGGCCTGTGAGCCATGGCCACTGAGCCTGCGTGTCCGGAGCCTGCGCTCCGCAGCGGGAGAGGCCACAACAGTGAGAGGCCCGCGTCCCCCAAAAAAAAAAAAAAAAAAAAAAAACTGGGGAAAAAAATATCACCTACAAAGGAATGACAGAGTGACAGCTGACTGACTTCTCAGGAGCTACAAGAGAGAAGAATGTCTTCAAAGTATTGAAAGAGAAGAACTGCCAACCTAGGATAGTGTACCCAGTAACTACCTTCCAAGAACAGGGATAAAATAAAGATATCCTCAGATTATGGGAAATACTGAGCACTTGCCACCAACAGACGTGTATAAAAGAAATGTCTAAAGGATGTGCTAGAGAGGAGGGAAATTACCCCAGGAGGGTGGAATAAGAGGGAATAGTGAGTAAGTCAGATGGTAAACATGTGTCTAAATCTAAGCAAATGTTGTCCTGATAAAATAGTGATAATTTGTGGGGTTGAGAAGAATAGACAAGCCTGAGTGACACCCCGTGTCACACATACGGCACAGCCGGCTGCTTTTTAAAATGCTGTCTTGACTTTCCTGTCAGGACACCACACACATTCTGGCTGTTCTGTGCTCTGTATTCTTCGTTCAACCCTCTTCATCTCCCAACGTCTTTTAACAGTCGTGACCATCTCAGGCTCAGTCTTTGCGCCTCTTCTCACATCTTTTACACCTACACCACTGATGATTGTCTTAGTCTGTTCAGGCTGCTATAAAAAGTATCAGAGACTGGGTGGCTTATAAATAATGGAAATTAACTTCTCACAGTTCTGGAGGCTGGGAAATCCAAGATCAAGGTGCTGGCAGATTAGGTGTCTGGGGAAGGCTTGCTTTCTGGTTCATAGATAGTGACTTCTAGCTGTAATCTTTTTTTTTTTTTTTTTTTTTGACCACACCATGCAGCTTGCACCATGGGATCTTAGTTCCCCAATCAGGGATTGAACCTGGGCCCTTGACCGTGAAAGTGCAGAGTCCTAACCACTGGACCGCCAGGGAATTCCCTCTAGCTGTAATTTTACGTGGTAGGAGGGGTGAGGGAGCTCTCAGGGTCTCTTTTCTAAGGGCACTGATGCCATTCATGAGGGCTGTGCCCTCATGACCTAATCATCTCCCAAAGGCCCTACTTCCAAATATTATCACATTGGGTATTATAATTTAACATATGGGACTTCCCTGGTGGCTCAGTGGTTAAGAATCCACCTGCCAGTACAGGTGCTGAAGTCACAGTGGTTCTGGAAATGATTTTCTTCAATTTGAAGAAATTGATGGCACAATTCTAAAGATGGCTCCCAAGATTCCTGTCTTATGGATATTCAAACACTACTCCAGGTTCTGCTATGAAGAGATTTTGCAGAAGTAATTAAAGTCTGAAGGTAGTTGATATTAAGATATAAGGAGAGCTTTCTCTGGCTGGTGGCAGAAGAGGAAGCATGAGAAGAACTTGAGCACCATCAGTGGTTTCAAGCTGGAGGGACCAGGTAGGGGGGAATGTGAGTGGCCTCCAAGAGAAGAGTGGCCCCTGGCTGATGGCTAGCAAGGAAATGGGGACCTTAGACCTAGAGATGGAAGGAACTGGATTCTGCGAACTTTAATGAGTTTTGAAGCAGGTTCTTCCCCAGTGCCTCCTGGTAAGAGTGGAACGCAGCTGATAACTTGACTTCCACCTTCTGAAGACAAGAGCTGAGACCCTTGAGACCTTTGTGAGATAGAGCTGAGAATTTTTCCAGAACTCATAGAAGACATGAATAGGACCTATATCCCTAAGCAGAGAACCCTACAGAGCTCTTGCCTGGACTTCTGACCTACAAAATTGAGATAATAAATAGGTGCTGTTTTAAGCACCGAAGTTTGTGATTTGTTTCATAGCAATAGAAACTAATATAGGGGCATCTTTAAAAATCACATCTAGGGCTTCCCTGGTGGCGCAGTGTTTGAGAGTCCGCCTGCCGATGCAGGGGACACGGGTTCGTGCGCTGGTCCAGGAGGATCCCACATGCCACGGAGTGGCTGGGCCCGTGAGCTATGGCCGCTGAGCCTGCGCGTCCGGAGCCTGTGCTCTGCAACGGGAGAGGCCACAGCAGTGAGAGGCCCACGGACTGCAAAAAAAAAAAAAAAAAAAAATCACATCTAAAGGCTGGTGAAGGTGTTTCTTCAGAAACACTGCTTTAGGTAATTCTTTGTTTTTTTCCACCAGACTGTTCCCAAGCCCATTGCCCTGGAGCCATGTTTTGGCAACAAAGCTGCTGTCCTCTCTGTGTTTGTGAGGCTCCCTCGAGGCCTCGGTGGAATCCCTCCTCCTGGGCAGTCGGGTGAGTAGATGAGGGTCATTGACAAATGAGGTTTATGTTTTAGATGTATGAAGGCTCCTTCCCTTTTGTAGAGAACTTGGTTATAAAAGCGATACTGCAATCAGGCAGACCTCGGAGATATTGCAGGTTTGGTTCCAGAAAAGGTCAATAAAGCAAATATCACAATAAAGCGAGTCACATGAATTTTTTGGTTTCCCAGTGCATATAAGTTATGTCTACATTATACTGTAGCCTGTTAAGGTGCAATAGCATTATGTCTAAAAAGACAAGGTACATCCTTAATTTAAAAATGCTTTATTGCTAAAAATACTATTATCTGACAATGCAGGGTTGCCATAAACCTCCAATTTGTTAAACAACAACAGCAACACAGTATCTGTGAGGCACAATAAAGTGGGGTATACCTGTAGTGCCTGCCTTGTGTTGTTGTGAGGATTTGGAGAGATGATCCCATTGCCACTGTATTCCTAACCCATCTTTCCTGAGGTCACCATTCCTTCCTGGGAAAAATCTGGATCTCCTCACTGCCCCAGCCTTCTCAGCCTACCAGTGGTATTGATGCTTCCAGCCAAACCTTCTTTGCCGCCAGTGTTTCCGCTCCCCCGCCTCTGTGTTGCTCCTTTACTATCTTTTTCCTTGCTCTGCCTCTGAATGTAGGCTTTCTCCCTCTTCACTCCATATGCTCTTCCTCAGTCATCTTACTTACTCTCATGGCTTCCAGCTAGCTCCCTCAAGCTAGTGGTTCTCAAATTGGTATTTCTAACACTATTTCTTTTTCTGTATTTCTGTATTTCTTTTTCTTTTTCACTCTAAGTATAAGGCATAAACAACAATTATAACATCCTAAAGGAAGTTTTAGAAAATTTATTCACAATTCTACCATCCAACACCCACCAATTTTCACTGTTCTGTTTCCTTTACAGCCCTTATCAGCAATGTAGTTGCAATGATTGAATAACTAATTTTTATTCTTCTTTTTTCATGTAACTATCATAAACATTTTTACAACTTACTATATAGTGTTTTATCCATCTTTTACACTACTCCATCAAATACTTGAATCATAATTTAGATAAACATTCTTCTACTGTTGAACATGAAGGAAATATGGAGTATAGTTTTGGAAGTATTTTGATTAATCATGGAGTACTTTGGAGGGATGCCTCAGACAATATGAATGTTTTAGACAACTTTCAGTTGAAATGATTCTGCAGGCCTCCACTCCAACTCAGCTTTCGGAAGGTCTAGGTCCATGGTGTTCTTATGAGGGAGGACATTAGGCATGGCCAGGTCAGGATTTATTGTCTTCATTTCATAAGCGAATGGTTTGATTTGCCCTCATCTAGGGATTCCTGTGAGTTCAGTCCCTAACTTGGCCTTGTCCATGTTGAGGGCAGAATGACCCATTAACCTGACGCTCTGGAGCAGTATCTCCTGCCCAGGTCAGCAGACATTGACTGGTGCTCCCTGAGGGCAAGGTACCGTCTGGGGCTGGGAGGGGAGTGGTGACAGGCTTGCAACACTGTGGCCTTTCCTGCTCCAGACTTTGCCTGATGTGCCCCAACCCCCTGGACTCCTGACGAAGACCTGCTCACTGCTTGAGAGCTACCCCAAGGGTGGGGCCATCCCTGCCACCCCTTCTGTATCCCCCATTTCATTCATTCATTCATTCATTCATTCATTTTTATTGAAGTATAGTTGATTTACAGTATTATATTAGATTCAGGTGCACAGCATAGTGATTCAATATTTTTAATAGATTGTACTACCTTTAAAGTTATTACAAAATAATGGCTAATCTCCTTTCCAGTCTCTACACCTTAAGGTTTCTCCTGCTAAACCCTGGGCTTTTTTCTTTTTCATTGTGAGCTTATTATTCCCAAAAATTAAGTAATCACTGTCTTTCCCAGGTTAATATCTCTAATTCTTGTCCTTCTTGCCAAGCTTCACACCCAGTTATTCGACTGCCTACTTGAAATGTCCACTTGGATACCTCAAGGTCTTATCAAGCCTAAAATGTCTAAAATGGAGCTTGCCCTCCTTCTAACCAGTTGGTCCTTTGATCTCCATCTCAGTAAAGGAATTCATTATTCAGCCAGTTGCTCAAGCCAGAAACTCAAGAGTCATCCTAGGCAGTCCTCACCTCTCTATGTATAATTCACGGGCGAGTTCTGCTGGTCCTACATCTGGAGTCTCATTCTTCCACTTTGTTTCATTTACTCTACCACATCTCTCATCTAACCTCAGCTGCCATCTCTCCCCTGTAGTCTACTTCTTCTACACTTGACCTCTAAAATCACAGCCCCAGCCCCCTCCCACACCTCCATCCAGCCATTTGCCTGCAGTTAAAATCATTCTTTAAATGAATAAATAAATGATGGTTATATTTCACTGTGCTATACAATATATCCTTGTTGCTTATTTATTTTACACATAGTAATTTGTATCTCTTAATCCCATACCCCTGTCTTGCCCCTCCTGCCTTCCCTTTCACCACTGGTAACCAACACTTTGTTCTCTATATATCTGTGAGTCTGTTTCATTATATATATTCGTTTGTTCTCTTTTTTCAGATTCCACGTATAAGTGATAACTTGGAGTATTTATCTTTCTCTGTCTGACTTATTCACTAAGCGTAATAATCTCTAGGTTCATTCATATTGTTGCAAATGGCAGAATGTCATTATTTTTTATGATTGAGTAGTATTCCAGTGTGTGTGTGTGTGTGTGTGTGTGTGTGTGTGTGTGTGTGTGTGTGTAAAACATCTTCATTATCCATTCATCTGTTAATGGACACTTAGGTTGCTTCTGTATCTTGGCTATTATAAATGATGCTGCGAATGTTGCTATGAACATTGTGGGTGCGTGTATCTTTTCAAATTAGTATTTCTGCTTTCTTTGGAAGTATACTCAGGAGTGGAATATGGTAGTTCTACTTTTATTTTTTTGAGGAACCTTCATACTGTTTTCCACAGTGGCTTCACCAATTTACATTCCCACCAACAGTATACAAGGGTTCCCCTTTCTCCACATCCTCACTGACATTTGTTATTTGTGGGGTTTTTGATGATAGCCATTCTGACGGGTGTGAGATGATACCTCCTTGTGGTTTTGATTTGCATTTTCCTTATGATTAGTGATGTTCAGCAACTTTTCATGTGCCTGTTGGCCATCTGTATGGTGCCTGTATGTCTTCTTTGGGAAAATGTCTATTCAGGTCTTCTATTTTTTAATCGGGTTGTTTGGTTTTTTGATATTCAATTTATGAGCTATTTATATATTATACATTAACCCCTTATTGGTCATATCATTTCCAAATATTTTCTCCCATTCAGTAGGTTGTCTTTTCATTTTGTCAGGGTTTCCTTTGCTGTGCAAAAACTTTTAAGTTTGGTTAGGTCACATTTGTTTATTTTTGCTTTTATTTCTTTTGCCTTAAGAGACAGATCCAAAAGAATATTTGCTATGATTTATGTCAAAGAGTGTTCTGCCTGTGTTCTCTTCTGGGATTGTTATGGTTTCAGGTCTTAGATTTAGGTCTTTATGTATATGGTGTGAGGAAATGTTCTAATCTCATTCTTTTGCATGTAGCTGTCCAGTTTTCCCAGAACTACTTATTGAAGAGACTTCTCTCCATTGTATATTCTTGCCTCCTTTGTCATAGATTAATTGACCATAAGTGCATGAGTTTATTTCGGGTCTCTCTATTCTGTTCCACTGATCTATGTGTCTGTATTTGTGGGAAAACCATGACGTTTTGATTACTGTAGTAGCTTTTTAGTATAGTCTGAAGTCACGGAGCGTGATATCTCCAGCTTCATTCTTTTTTCTCAAGACTGCTTTGGCAATTCAGGCTCTTTTGTGGTTCCATATAAATTTTAGTATTAATTGTTCTAGTTCTGTGGGAAATGTCATGGTTATTTTGATAGGGATTGCCTTAACTCTGTAGATTGCTTTGGGTATTATGGACATTTTAACAATGTTCTTCCAATTCAAGAACACAGGATATCTTTCCATTTCTTTGTATCATTTTCAAATTCCTTCATAAATGTTTTGTAGTTAATCAGATTATAAGTCTTTCGCCTCTTTTTAAATTTTTTTAAAATTTTTATTTATTTTATTTATTTATTTTTGGCTGCATTGGGTCTTCATTGCTGCGCGCAGGCTTTCTCTAGTTGCAGCAAGTGGGAGCTACTCTTCATTACAGTGCATGGGCTTCTCATTGCGGTGTCTTCTCTTGTTGCAGAGCACGGGCCCTAGGCACACAGGCTTCAGTAGTTGTGGTGTGTGAGCTCAGTAGTTGTGGCTCACGGGCTCTAGAGTACAGGCTCAGTAGTTGTGGCGCACAGGCTTAGTTGCTCCACGGCATGTGGGATCTTCCCAGACCAGGGCTCGAATCCATGTCCCCTGCATTGGCAGGCAGATTCTTAACCACTGCACCACCAGGGAAGCCCCTTTTACCTCTTTGGTTAAGTTTATTCCTAGGTATTTTATTCTTTTGTGTGTGTGTGTGTGATACGTGGGCCTCTCACTGTTGTGGCCTCTCCCGTTGCGGAACACAGGCTCTGGACACGCAGCCTCAGCGGCCATGGCTCACGGGCCCAGCCGCTCCGCGGCATGTGGGATCCTCCCAGACCGGGGCACGAACCCATGTCCCCTGCATCTGCAAGCGGACTCTCAACCACTGCGCCACCAGGGAAGCCCCTCTTTTTGATGTGATTTTAAATGGAATTATTTTCTTGCTTTCTCTTTCTGATAGTTCATTATTAGTGTATAGAAAAGCAACAGATTTCTGTGTATTAATCTTGTCTCCTGCAACTTTACTGAATTCATTTATTAGTTCTAATAGTTTTTTGGTGGAGACTTTAGGGTTTTCTATATATAGTATCATGGCATGTGCAAATAGTGACTGTTTGACTTCTTCCCTTCCAATTTGGATGCCTCTTCTTTCCTTTTCTCATCTGATGTTTTTTGGTAGACTTTAGGGTTTTCTATATATAGTATCATGGCATGTGCAAATAGTGACTGTTTGACTTCTTCCCTTCCAATTTGGATGCCTCTTCTTTCCTTTTCTCATCTGATTGCTGTGACTAGGATCTACCTGCCTTTTTAAATGGTGCCCTTCTCTGGACTCCTGAAGCACCTGGCTCTGTCTTCGCTATAACAGTGGTCACTGGTGTGGATTCCCCACTCCATGCCAGGTACTAAACCTGGCACTTAAAAGCTACCCCCCTCCCCCATTTTATAGGCTCAGTGAGGTGGAATAAGAAGCTCCTCTACCATGGCTCCTGGGGGCCTCAGCAGGGCTCTGAGCCTGTCTGGCCTTTTCCCATGCATAGGAATCCAGTTCCCCCAGGACTGTGCCTTCCCTAATGAACATCAAGTTAATCAATTACCAATACAAAAAGGAGAATGGACCCACCAGTCCCCAAAGCAAAGGTGGTAGCGGAGGTGGTGGGGTGATAAGCCAGGTACCATTATAAGACTTTACATCAGTTCACTCATTGACTTCTCACACAAGCCCTGTGCTGTTCCCCATTTACAAAAGAGGAAACTGAGGCACAGGGAAGTTAAAGAACCTTGCTTATTCCAAAGTCTGGCCCCAGAGTCTATCCTAACCCTTATCATGGTGTAGATATCAAAATAACTAGTGCTATCTGGGCAATGTGGAATGAATCTGAATTTCATCATAAAGAGTGAAGCTTTTTCTTGGAGAAAAAGACAGGAGAAACTTAGTGTTTAAAGCATGTCTGCAATCTTATTTAGATGCTCCCACCACGAGGCAGAGCACTTTGCTTGGTTGATCTGCTGAAAAGTAAGGTACTCCTTTTGTGTAAAAATGGGGGAGGAGGAGAATATGTATTTGTATTTATACAAATAAACCCTGAAAGAATATATACAAACTAATGAAAGAAGTTACTCTGATGGAAGGGGGGAATATGAAGGGAGACACAGGTTAGAGGTAAGATTTTTCCCATGTATGTACTTTATTTATTTATTGCACCATGTGAATGTAAGAAGAAATTTTTTAAATTATTTTTTAATAAAAGCAAGCTGCTCCTTAACATGTGTTCCCTCTGTGGGTTCTCCCAAGGTCTCGCAGTGGCCAGCGCCCTGGTGGACATTTCTCAGCAGATGCCAATAGTATACAAAGAGAAGTCAGGAGCAGTGAGAAACCGGAAACAGCAGCCCCCTGCACAGCCTGGGACCTGCATTTGATGCTGGGGCCAGGACTCCCTGTGAGCAAGGAGTGGCGTGCCAGAGCCGTCTGCAGAGAGGGAGCAGGCAGGGAGACACTATGCAGGTCAGAAGACTGGAAACTCTCGAAACATCCACCTCATCCGCATGTTCACAAGCTTTCTTTGACAGTTTCTCCCATCTGTGCTCCAGCATCTAACCTTTTACTTTCATATGGGAAATAATTGATTTAGTTACAGGTCCAGGGGTGATCCAGTTGTTGCTGGAGGAGGCTGGTGTAGAGCGAGTGAGAGAGCTAGGAATGACAGGTTCACATGTGGAAAACTGTTCTTGGGACTGTCTCAACAGTGCAAAAAACAAAGATGTAGTGTTTACAAGTAGACATTTGTCATCAGTCATTCTTGAACATGGTCTTTTAAAAACTAGTCAGATGAATTAACTTGTTTTCATCTGAAGCCTGCTATCTTTTTTAAAAGATGTGCTATTTATTCTTGCACGATTTAGGCAAATATCTCTCTTTCAGGGAGTAACTTTTTTTCTAGCTGAGAATTAATAATGGTCCATCTCTTTTGAATCATAAGATAGAAGAGGCTATTTTAAATGTCAAGGTCAGCAGTGTTTCTTGGAATGCCAACTGATATAATGGGTAGTTTTCTGTAGCAACTTGATTAATTTAGTCTGAATCCATTTGAAGTTCTCTCTCTCTCTCCTCTCTTTCGTTCCCTCCCTCTCTCTCCTTCACTTCCTCTTTATCTCTCTCTGTCTCTGTCTTTGTCTCTCTTTCTCACGCTCATACACTCACTCACTCACACACACACACACACACACACACAAAGTGCCTAGACTTTAAATAGATCTAGCAATTGGAAAGTTAGTAAGCATAAGTTTTTACATAATTGCATTCCTACATTCTTATAAAACTTAAATAGCTATCATTGGCAATCTGCTCTTTTTCTAAAACCTAATTTGCCGCCAGAAAACAGTTTTCTCACCCCGCGAAACATTTAACGTAGCAGCAGGGATTGAGAGGAAAACAGAAATGACCTAACTGTCAAAGCTCCTGTCTTTGTTGTCAAAAAGGACACTAAATAAGGCATGTTCCCATGTGCCTCCTTGCCCCAGGTCACTCTAGGCCTGATGTTTGCTTCAGCCCTACTGGGTGCTCCTGCCAAGGCACCAGAGAGAGAGGGGCTCACTCATGTTACATGTCTCTCTTGAGCCGAAAAGAGCATGACAGCACTTGGGACCCCTTAATCAAAGGGCAACTCTTTGTTCCTGTAGTCTGCTTGAGCTGGTGGGTCATTCTTCATTCTCAGGGCCAGGCGGAGTGCCAGGAGAGGGTCGGTCTCCTGTTGTCGGGCAGAACCTGCCCAAAGCCTGGAGGAGGACCTGAAGCTGTTTGCCCTCTTTCCCCTCCTCCCCAGGAGGGGCTTAGGCCTCCCATGCTCCCTCCAGACCCAACGGGTAGCTGTGGGGAGGGCAGTGAACGATAAGGATGAAAAGCACATGGGAAAAATGGACAAGGGGAGAAAACTATGCCAACTGAAAAGTGACCAAATTGAAGTAGTGACCAAATTGAAGTGGAGTAGAGGCCAGTCCCTGCTCTTCTCCCCAGGGCACTGCCTGGATGGTGTGTTGTCCCCGTCCATGGTGCTCTGTATTCTGGCATTATGCAGCAGCCTCCCAAGATCTCTGTTCTGCTTCAAAACCCAGTGTTCCATGGCATTACCCTGGGGGCGTAGACCTTTAGACAACAATGCTCAAGTTTGTGAATTTGGAGAAATCAGTACTCAAAAGAGCAAAAACTGCGGCATTTCACCTTTATATGCAGTGCCTAGAGAGGGAGTATGACCTCTTCCCCAACACTAACCCCACTCCCATGAAGAATTGCCTGGAAAGATGTTTTCAAGGATGTTGAACCATAAAACACTGTCTGATGCACAAAACACCTCTACTTTGAGACTTGCCTCTCAAAATGCTGCTTTTTCACATTATTGTTAAAGAGCAGATGGTTCTGGAAAAGACCCCTCCTCTTACGAGCTCCCCACGTCCCTGCCCCAGATCACAGTACCCGCAGAGAGCCTGCTGGGGACTGGCCCTTCACCCCTGTGATTACCAAAAGGCCACTGGAGAGGACCCTCCCACAAGGGAAGTCCTTGTTTGTTCAAAGGACTGGTGTTTCCTTGGCAAAGAAGCCTCCTCCCCATAGTAGTCCCATGCCTTGAAATAATAAGCACCATGTCCCATAGCCACCTGGTTATTTTCTTTTTTCTAAAAGATAATGTTTATTTTTTAAAAGAAAGGAAAGAGCAAGTGAAGTTTAATTCTGCTCCAACAGTGGAGAAACAACTGAATCCACCTGCTTCTCCTTTGCAGCCAGTGGCAAACAGCTTCCTCCAGGCTTGGGCCAGAGGAAGGGGGTGGCAGGAGAAGGAGGCACTCAGCTTAGAGTCAGTTATCAAGAGGAAGTCATGTGGAACTTCAGAGCCTGTATATAAATTAAAATAGTTATGAAAACATCGATATTGCACTTGTATATAACTATACAGTAGTGTCTGAATGTTCAGACATTTGGAGTGTACATAAAACAGAAAAATATCTTAATGTATTTTTATTAAACATAATGATGTCTGAGTTTGACCTAATATGTTTTTGTGCCATATATTGGATATCCAGGTTCAGAGAAGTCCTCTCATTACGCCCTGATATGATAACAAAGCCACGAAAGGCATCCCCATTGTGCCCAAGTGTTCAAATGCATCTGGGACTGATTGGATAGCTTCTAAAGTAGGAATCATCTGTCAATGCACATATGAAAATGCAGGCAGTGTGTGAAGAGACTCGAAGGCAGCCGGGATGTCTCTGCCCCTGTCATTGGCTCTGGGAGTGCATTGTAACTCTCCTGTCAGCTTCTTGGAGCTGTGGGTGCCCAGGGAAGACCAGTCTTGTCCTGAGAAATGCTCCTCTTAGTCTTTAGACTCCAAGACTATACCTGTAGATCTAGTCAGACTTTCCAAATAGGGCTTTTCCGGGCTGCATTTTGTTGTGGTTTTGTCTAAATTTTTAATGACCATTTCCCAGGACCATAGTTTACTATACTGAAAACTGGGAGTGGGATTGGGCGTGGCTGCTTTGTTGATAAATAGCTCCTGTTTCCCCATGGAGAACCTCACCCTGGCCTCCTGTCCACCTCCTGCCCCCTTCCCACACTGTTTGGGGAGAGGTCTGTGCTTCCCTGTGAGGATCACCTCTAAGTGTGGGAGGAGGTGTGCAGAGAAGGCAACCACATACTCCCTGAGCTAACCTGGAAGAAAAGCAGCCCTGGACAGAGACTGTCAGCAAAAGGCCTGACGTGCAAGATTGGAGATGCACCGGGAAATCTGGGGCAAATGGCAAGACCAGAGCACTATCTGTAGAAAAATACATTTTATCTTTCAGTGCAAATCTTGCTCCTTCAATTTAATAGAGTACATTTAGAGATGGGATGGGAGTGATTCACTTCCTTGGGTGATGGTATCCTTTTCATTAACACCTTTGATCCTTACATTTCGTTCATTCATCCATTCATTCAACAAATATTCACTACTTACTAACAACCTAAGCTAACACTAGAGCAGTGACTGAGATGGAAAAGCTGCTCTTCAGAACTACAACAGAATCCAGCTCCTCAAACCTGTCATCCCAGGAGAACTTTCCTTGTGGTTTCTGTGAGAATTGGCCACCTGAGGATAGACCCAGGAAGGCAGAGGGGTCTGGCCTCAGGCCATGCACTGGCTCTCAGCCTGAAATGTTGACCAAATTTACCAAATGGCTCAAACCATAAAAATCACCGTGATGGTTTGTAGATAGCCAAGCCCACCAAGAGACATTTCCCCTGAGTTGTCCAAATTCATAAACACCCTCGCCTGCAGGGAGACGATTTGGGAGTGGAGAGGAAAACTGGCACCTTCTCTTTTAAAGGCAATAATGGAATCGACTTTCAATAACTGAATTTGTGCACAAAACATTCTAAACACTAGTGAAGCCTCTTTTGTTGAACTAATTTTGGCTCTGGAAATGTTTTATAGTTATTTACGGTTTTGTTTTGGGGGTTTTTGGTCTGGATTCAAGTTTAGTTTGTTAATATGTATAATTTAGCATCTATTGCACTCATGTAAATATGGAGTAAGTACTGTAAACTATTTCATTGCTGGGGATTGTGGATGTTATACATACATTTAGGACTGCAATTTTTTGGTATTTTTTGTATTGTAAAATAACAGCTAATTTAAGCCGGAACAAGAGAATTAAGGGAGGTCTGTGCATTTTAAACACAAATGTGAAGAACCTGTATATAAACAAAAGTAAATACTATAATACAAACTTCCTTCTGAAATAAAAGTAGATCTGATAAAAATGTGGGTTTTGTTCTAAGAGTCTGATTTTGTTTCAGTTATTTTTACAATTTGGTCATTAGAACCTTAAGAAAAGGGGAAAAACATGTTTTACTGGGAAAACTGGACAGGTACATGTAAAAGTATGAGATTAGTTCACTCCCTAACACCATACACAAAAATAAGCTCAAAATGGATTAAAGACCTAAATGTAAGGCCAGAAACTATAATACTCTTAGAGGAAAACATAGGCAGAACACTCTATGACATAAATCACAGCAAGATCCTTTTTGACCCGCCTCCTAGAGAAATGGAAATAAAAACAAAAATAAACAAATGGGACCTAATGAAACTTCAAAGCTTTTGCACAGCAAAGGAAACCATAAACAAGACCAAAAGACAACCCTCAGAATGGGAGAAAATATTTGCAAATGAAGCAACTGACAAAGGATTAATTTCCAAAATTTACAAGCAGCTCATGCAGCTCAATAACAAAAAAACAAAGCAATCCAAAAATGGGCAGAAGACCTAAATAGACATTTCTCCAAAGAAGATATACAGACTGCCAACAAACATATGAAAGAATGCTCAACATCATTAATCATTAGAGAAATGCAAATCAAAACTACAATGAGATATCATCTCACACCAGTCAGAATGGCCATCATCAAAAAATCTAGAAACAATAAATGCTGGAGAGGGTGTGGAGAAAAGGGAACACTCTTGCACTGCTGGTGGGAATGTGAATTGGTTCAGCCACTATGGAGAACAGTATGGAGGTTCCTTAAAAAACTACAAATAGAACTACCATATGACCCAGCAATCCCACTACTAGG